GTAGAGACGGTGTTTCACCATGTTGGCCAAACTGGTCTTGAACCCCTGACCTAAGGTAATCTGCCCACTTCAGCCTCCCAAAGTGCTGGGATTACAGGCGTGAGCTACCGTGCCTGGCCAGAGTTCGCTTTTTGATGGTAACTCTGGCAGGGATGTATAAGACACGCTGGAGGGTGGTGGGCTGGGATAATGAGATCATTTAGGCTTCCGCCAGGTCTCAGAAGAGAGAACACAGGCCTGCGCATGGAGAGGACAGCTTCCAGTGACACTCTGTAAACAGACTAACTGGATTAGGACGGAGGTTATGGAAAGAGGGAACGGTGGTAGCAAAGAGAGGTTTTCTTCCACATCCCAGAAGAAAAACTCAGCAAAAAATAAAAGTTAGGAGTTCATTTTTAGACATGCTGAGTTTACTGGTGCCTAATGGGCACTCGGGCCAGCAAGGAGACGTGGAGTGGCTGAGGCTTTCTTCTGGACTAGGGAAGCGGATGCCTTTCTGAATCGAGCTTAGACAGGTGACTTTATAAGTTACTCTGAGCTTTCCATGGGTGGTCTCATATCCTGTCAGTGACTCACATGATTTGATCGCCAACGCTTTATTCCCAGAGTGGTTTGGTAAAGTGGGCTGGCCCTGGGGGCAGGGAGGAATTTGTTTTCTTTACAGCAGGCTGCAGCTAGACTGACACTCCCTTAGGCCATCTACTCTGCACTGTAGCCCAGATAGAAGCAAGCTTGTGGGGGTGTGGAATTCTCAGAGCTCCAAAGACAGAAGCAGACTTCTGCCTCGAATCCCCCTAGGTCCTCTTGGGTAAGATGGTGTAGTGACAGGCCTGTGGTAATACAAATGAACAAAATGAGAATTAAGTATGAGTTCAAACGCCTGATGTTGCTAAATAACTTCTAGACGGTGATAATACAAACAAGATCCTAATAACTAAAAACAAACAGACCCAAAACAAAAATCTTTTGGTCTCCTCATCTACTAGAAGAAGGTAGGCTTTTTACAGCTGGGAGCTTTTCTTTGCTGTATTTGGCAGACTGAAGATATCTAGTCTATTTAGGCAAGGCCAGCCCCAACTGCGTCTACATGGAGATGGAGTGAGGTGGCAGAAGGAGGTGGTTAGGTAGAGGACGGCAATGGAACGTTCTCAGCTGAAACAGGAAGAAGTCCAGAGACGCAATGGAAAAGGCATGAGCCCATTAATGTAAGCCTTGGAGAGCCACAGAAGGCTGAGAGAAGCTGAACTGCCAAGGGGGAAGGGATGGCTGTGATGAGCAGGGAGCCGGAATCTGTCACCACAGAAGTGCTTCCTCTCTCACAGGTCCGGGGCCACTTCCACCACTGGCCTTCCTCATCCATATAGCGCAGAAGCAAGGGGCTGGCACAGCCAGCCCCACAAAAGAGCCAAAGGCCTTCTTCCAGATGGGTCATCCAGCATGGTACCCACCAGAGGAAAGGAGGAAAAGAAATATTGTTGCAGACTCCTGGATCTTTGACACGCCTCCTCTCCTCTCCCCACCATACGCATTATAGTTTTAAATAGAAATATGAAAAAACAGATGTATGCCTACAAGTAAGCAAAACAGATGTGTGCATTGAGAAAGGCAAGGGTTAAGTCCAGGCCTGGTTCTCAAGCTGAGATGGGACTGCCTTGTTTGAAGAGGACTATTTATTAACAAAGACTCTCAGTAGCCTGGTGTGGGTGAGGGGTGGAGAGCAAGTCCCGAAATCCAGACAAGAGCCTTTGGTATGAAGGGAGATTTTCTAATTATTACAGTCAGGAGTGGGGACCATTCCTTTATGACAGATGAAAATATATCCCCCTCCTCCCTCCCTAGAAACCCTTGAGTCTCGCCTGTAGGCCCTTTTAGTGTCTGCTTCTATAGCTGATGGCGGCAATCTCTTTTCCTGGGACTCTAAGTGTAGGACGTGGAGGAACCAGAACTCTAATTAGCAGCAGGGCCTATTATTGTTCCAATAAGGTTACCATTCAAGGGAAAGAAAAGCCTGTTTCCTTCTCAGGAAGCGTGTGAGGATATAGGCTCACACTGAGGAGAGAAATTCGAAAAGCATATTAGTTACATTGATCATGGGATGCCTGGTTTGTGAGTTAAAATCACCTGAATGACCTTGAAGGGTCTGACATCTAGAAGGAATGCTCAAGACTTAGGTGGCCTGTTTGATCCTAACATATCACTACATTAACAGAAAAGGGGCTGGAAGTACAGATAACTACATGGTAGCAGGGTATCCTGACTGTAGAATTATAGATGATCTCATTTTGTATTTTCCTTTTTGAATATCTGCACTTCCTAAAGTTTGCTAATGACGACTTAGGCTGAGTCTAGGAGTATACAGGTTGACAAAAGGGAGGAGGCATACTGCAGAGGCAGAGGGGAGATGAGAGAAGAGCTCAGAGTCATGAGCAGCATGGGGCGTCGTGGAACACATGGTGCAGGCTGGCTGGGGTCAGCACTAAAAATGTTTTATGTGTATATAACGCATAGGTATTTATAATAGCAGTTAACAGTGACTCCAGCCAAATACAAGAGTGCTCATGTAATCATACTTGTCAAATTTGAGTAAGAGCAATAAAGAAATTATTAACCAAACTCTTACTTTCTCCTATACATAAATATGACACGATTTTACATTTTGAAAACCAATAATGGGGCTAGTGCACCTGGCAGGGGACACTGGGTTTATCCCATAGGGAACTGGGAGCCAGTGAAAGTGAGGATGTCCTATCTACAGATGAATTACAGAGAGGAAAAAGTTACCTATCACTTATCCCTCCCCCATGGGTAAGTCAGTTACCTGGAGAGAACAACAGATTGAAAGGTACTGTTCGGAAATGCTAACTGGTTCTTTCTACCCGAGATGAACCCAAGACCAAATCATATTACCCCAGACACAAATGCAATGGGCGCTTTTAAAGTAGCGTGCAAAAATTTTTTTTTCAAGTTTGATGTAGAAATAACCAGAACTTCCAGTAAACTGCGTACATGCACGGTTATGTGAGAAAAGTGAAGCTGTTGCACCTGTTCCAAAGCTCACTTCGCTTCCTCCAGAAGCATGCCCGCCTGCCTCTCAGGTCACAGGCCGATCTTATTACACAATTATTGTGAGAGTCTTGAGAATTTTCTCTTTGCCTTTCCATGTCATGCCCAACAAATTCAAAGGATGCAAAGCAAATTGTTCATCCAGAAATACTTAATTTGAAAAAATAAAAATATTTATCACTGGGCCTTTAAGATTATCCTGCTTTGTGATTTTTTTTTTTCTTTTTAAACTGATTAACATTTCATCGGGTTTCCCTTTCAAAAGAAAATGGCACTGAAGAGACAAGGCAAGTTTTCCAAGCGACAACACTGGCTTTTCTGAAAGGGGAAAGGAATGTTAAGGAAATGGGGGAGAAAGCTTAAAAAGAGTGGAACACTAGCAAGCAGGGCCTCTTCTCCTTTTCACCTTAAGTCTTTTTTCTTTTCCATTCACAGCTTTGGGTCCTTTGTTTGTTTAACAAACCATTACAATCATAGCCAGTTCAATGGGAGGAATGTGAACTCCCTAAGTAGCTGTCCTTGCAATCCACATGTGTGGTCCATCCCCCAACCCATCCGCAGGCGGCTTTCAAGTGCTGCTCGGCGCTCCCCGTCGCCCGGGAGGCCAGCACCTTGCTCACAATAAGCCTCAATTTCCCACCGCTGCTGCCTGCTCGCGGCTCCTCCCCAGCAGCCGACAGCAATGTCTCAAGTGGCTCTTGCTCCCCTGCTTGCCTTACAATCATCCTGTCCGCCCGGCTTGGGCTTGCCCGGTTCAGCTCTTGAGACAGACAAGGCCTGCTGTGTTCGCCACCCCCCACCTGTTCACAGCCCACTGAATACAGGGCAGACACATTCCAGGATCTTCCTGGCTAGCACTGCCGGTCTTCTAACGTCAAGCACATTGTAAACAGAAGATACAGGAAGGACTACCCTCCCCACCACCCCAGCTCCCAGCCCTAATTAGAACTGCTAGTGCCTCTCCCAGGTCCTAGTGGATATGTTGGCCCCGTTGGGATGAATTTCAATTCCTTGGTCAATAAATCAAAATATTTAGTGACAATATTGTATTTCAGTAGGAGCTGGAATCGTATTTCAGTTGAGCTCATAAAGCTTTCTCATGCTATTCTAATAATTTCCATCTCACAGCCCTGAAAGATAGTTAGAAAGGCATCATTGTCTCCATTTGACAAATGAGGAAACTGAGGCTCAGAGGATTTAAGCTTACTGCCCATAAGCATGGACTAATGAGATACTGCAAGTAACACACTGTCCTAAGCAAAACGCCTAGCACAGAGTACCCTAAAAGCATTAGCTTCCATTAATATCATTATTGGTGACGATAATCATGATGAACAGAGGTTGCTCCCAAGTGTTCTGAACTAAGCCAGATGCTCTTTCAACTTATACTTTGCCATCCCTCCTAGTCACACTGTCTGTGTGAGCAGTGAAGTTCAGTAACAGCTTTTACAACAGTGTTTTCAAATAAAGCCTCAGGAAGTATGGCTGGATTGCCTCTTGGGGCTGGGATGTGATCAGCATGTTTCCTAGGCTTATCTTTCAGTGGACATCTGCCACAAAGAGAAGACAACCTCTTATACATCTTACGCACACAAGTTACGAGTGTTGGCAGGGGCAACTTTCTTGTTTTTGAACTGACGCGGTTGCCTGCAAAAATTCCATAGATCTACATGTATTACTAGGCCGTGCCTGTGGGTCAGCAGAGGACATGCAAAGTTGCTACCTGCGTCACCAAATTCCCCGAAACGCGCAGTGCACTGAGCTTTAAAAGAACCTCTGTCCTCCAGTATTTTGCAGTTTATGGGGGCAATGTGTTTGTTTTCCACTAGAACCTTTTTGAAGTACCCAGAACCTCCAGCATGTTCTTGCCCATGATGTGTTTCCAAGCAATTGTTAATAAACGTGCTCGACGAGAAATAATCTTAAAACATGCGCACCTACTGAGTGACAGGAAACAGCAGCAGTGAGGCAGGTACCAAGTCCTCCCAGAAGTTTGTCTGAAGATTCAAACCTGTGAGAAGAGACCTTGCACATCGTCAGTGAATGAAGCTAGGAAAACATTCCCTCATTGTGCTATACCCTGAGCTTCACGTCTAGAGCACACACACAACTGGTGATGTCCAGAGGAGATTTTCTAGTGTGTTTTTCATGCATTTTACTAGATGATCTTTAAGTACTCATATCCTTTGTCCTACTTGCACGGGATTAAGAAAAACTCTCAACTTCTCCCCTGCTTTCTGCAAGTGGTAAAAAAGAACACATGAAATTGCTTACATAAAATATTCAAAACAGCACTCAGAGGAAATGATATTTTTTTAAACCAACAGTATTAAAATGCCATAAAACAGGTATGCAAATCTATGCAATAACAGAACCTAAAACAAATTCTGAATTGAAAGAAAGTCCGCAAATAACCAGTTGGCACTCAACAAAGGGGCTTCATATAAACATATAGATTTAGAAAATATGCAGTCCAAGATAGTTGAAGTCTCCAAGTTGAATACTGAGTTAAATGCTTACAAACCTGGCTATGCATTAGAATTAGCACAGAAGCCTTTTAAAAATACAGATTCCCAAGCGGCCACAGGGCAAATCAGTGCAGGCTAAAACAGCATCACTGGGACCCCAAGAATTTACGTTTTTACCAAGTCTTCAGAAGCCAAGTCTATAGCCAGCTTTGTGCCACTGAACCCTGGTGAGCAATTGGAAACCAGCATTTCCATTCACCAAGTAATTATCAAACTTGGCTTCTTCCTACCAAGACTATTCTAACCCATCATCGATCCTCTTACAGGGAAAGCTTTTCAGGATTTTCTTAACTAGTAAATAGGCAAATCTGTTATGGAACAAAGCCAGTTAATATCTCACTTAAGTTATTTATTCACTTGCCTGTTTTCTTCTGTTAATTTGATCAAAAATAAATTTGCCCATTTATTTTGTATAAGAACATCCTTTTAAGTTAAAAACGGAAAAATCAAGTCAATTTTTGGACAACTAATGTCTTAAAAAGAATGCATCACAATACAGGAAAAAACTGGAGGTGAGCAGATTGTCTGAGTCATTCAGAGAATTTGTTTCCAACATATTCCTTGTTTTGCTTGTATAAACACTTTACAAATCACCTTCATGGTCCATCTCCTTTCTCAAAATGCTCAACATTTAGTGTGGTGGTTTAATTGGGTGGTCTCCAAAGGCTTCTATAATTTTTTTTTTTTCAAAGAGCTTTAAACTTTAAAGCAAAAGAGTAAAATTCTTCCGGATGATTCTTCCTTTGGGCCTACCCATCTCACAAATTGACAATACCAACTTATGTATTCAGAGAGGCAGGGTTCTTCTGCTTCCCAGGAAAGGGTGCACATAACGCGAGGTACGCAAACCAGGCAGTGAAGTAGCTTAGCTTCATTGTCAAAATATTCAAATTATCACAAAAAGAAAGCGATTCCTTTCTGAATTCAACAATACTCCTTGGCCTCCGAGGGCTCACACAGGAGCTTATTCTTAAGCTGTTCAATGTAAGCAGCACTCGTGAAAGAGGAGAACTCTGGCAGGGAGGAGATCAAGTCCTTCAGCTTTTCCCACCTGCCATCTCTGCGCCAGTCTAATGCTTAAATAGTTAACAATGCAACAGAGAGCCCAAGGCAGGCCTGGGCTGGGGAAAAACTGTGTGCAGTATATGACGATTTAATAAAGCAGAGAAGGGACAGGAAAAATAACACATCTCAGTTTGACAGGATGACTTGCAGACTGCGTTTCAGGTCAGAATTTAGATTTCTAAAGCAGAGGAAAAATAGGTTTTCATACGTCAATTATTCTTTTTTAAGTATGTGGTTAAAAATGACCCCATAAAATTCAACATTCCTAATGATAAGTGTTTCCGAGTTCCAGAATAACAAAAAGAATCACATTTTTCTAGGGGTGAAGACTGGCAGATGGTAAACGGGTTAGTTAATTGTTTTAAATAAGGAGGAAATATTTTTTGGAAAGTTTGTTTATTCATTAATAACAAACACCAAAGTTCATGAGTCTAGAGGGTATGAGTCCCAGGATGGGTTTTCGCCGTCACAATATGTTTTTCTAGGCATTTGCATCTGAGAACAGCATTTAAGAACACGTCTTTTTCTCTCTTAATGAACTGGTTTAGCCGCCCGCTGGGCATTCACTGAAACCCACACTGAACAAAGGGATTTCCTTCCAGTTTCGGCTCATTCATGTCTAGCTACTCCTGGTTTTACTTAAGCAAATTCTCCAAACTGACTTTTTTATTTCTAATGATTTGAGTGAGAAAGAACTGGGCAACCCTCAAACACTGGGAAGTCTGCCCTCGTTTTCAGTGAAAGAATCCTCTAGATTGAAGATGTACAAGGTTTATTTTTGAAAAGCCTCTCGAATACATTTTATTTTCCAGACAGAAAGGAGACCACCTGATTTGGTAGATTACAAACAACTAAATCTTATTTCAGCGAGATGGATCATGGCGAACAATGAGATTATATCTTTGCAATGAACACCCCCGAGTGGGATATTCAGATTCACCCCCAGACAATGATGTTATTTTAAAGGTGACAGAGGAGGGTGTGGTATTAAGGGGTGACTCGAAGTTGGAATAGATTTGTGGGCCTGGCAGCTTGTACCTTGTACCTCCAACTCAAAGTTCAAATAGATTTGTGGGCCTGGTCTTGTGCCTTCTCACATTATACAAGATCTTCCTGGGAGAACCCATGCAAAACCCAAAGTTACAACTACTCCTTGAAGTCAGAAGCCTCCCAAATCTCTATCTTCAATCCTGAACTTTCTTTCAAACTCCAGATGAATACATCTACCTCCCTCCTGCAACTCTTGGGATAACCTTGCAGCGCCCCTTGGGCTTCAAACTTTAACCCCAGACTTGCTCCTTCTCCGGCACTGCCTGTGTAGCTAATCGCACCACTATAAAATAGCCGTCGGGTCTCCCAGATGCTCACCAGGTGATGGCTACTGTTTTAAGCACTTTACTTCTTACCCTCAACAACCGCATGAGTAGGTAGCATTAACCCTATTTGACTTATGGGGACATAAGGCTTAGAAGTTATGCTGACTTGCCCATGACCCTAAAACCAGCAAGCAGTTGAGCTGGGCCGTGAACCCGGGGTGCGTGTCAAAAGTCAGCCTCTTCCCATGTCACTTTCTTAGCCTCTCCAAACTTAGAAGCTCTGGGTTCTAGATTGTTCTCAAAGATTAAGCTTTACAATCTATTGTCTCTCAAATCCGTTTCCTTCTCTTAATTCCCACAGCCACGTGCTGTTTGGGTGCTGTTTGCCTTTACTGGGGCCTCCACATCAGCCTAGCACAACAACTCTGCAATTTTACTTAGTTTGAAATCCCAATGATTTTCCTTTCTAGCTCATTTAAAACAGGTAGCAGGCTTTGTAATCCCTTGTATTTTCATCCAGCTGAAGACAGAAGCATCCTAAAGAAGTCTGTCTTTGTTAGCAATATCTAAACCCAGAAAGGAAATTCTGCTGGACTTCTGGGAGAGGAGAAGGAGAGGGAGAGGCGAAGCTGCAAAAATGACATTCTCCTTTCCATTCCCCCATGGCCAACCACCCCCCACCCCAGGATCTGATAAGGAGATATGCCAGCCCCTAGAAAGAGAGGCCCCTGTGGGGCTCTGTTCCCCTGTGGCAATGAGTAGAATCCTTGAGAAGACAGCTGAGTGATGAGTGTGCCTCTGGAGGCCAGACGAGAGGCCTGACGAGAGGCCCGAGGTTCCCAGCCTTCACTGGCGGCCCCGAGACAGATAGTTACAAGGATTCCATAAATCACTACTTTGATAAACTGAAGGTCAGAGGTGGTCATGAGATGAGGGTCCTCATCTTCCAGAGGCCATGAAAACCTACACGTTTCAGGACACACTCCATAGGGGAAGGGGAAGCACGTAAAACTTACTGACATGGAATTTTCCACTAGGTTGGCAGGGGGGGACTGGAGTCCATTTTCATTACTGGGAACAAAACGGTAAAGCCTCTTGCATACTTGACGATGTGAGGTGAAATGCAAACTTGTGGGGCGCCTCAATAAAGTGCAGAATCTTGGAAAAGTGCATATCTGCGCTATAGAGTAGCTACAACTGTTGGAACTGGAGCCGATCTAGTTTTCAAAGAAGGCCACAACTCGGTTACAGAAAGGAGCAAGGCTCCGCACAGGCCCTGGTAGCCTAGGGCGGAGGGGCGGGGTGGCAGGGAAGGCAGCAGGCCTATGCTTTAAAATCCTGAGGCAGATAGAGAAGGAAGGAAGGAAACAAGGACAGATGTTAGAGTATACTCACAGGATTAACTCCTCTGATTCCTATGCAAATACCTAGAAAGGGAGAGACACACAAAGTTATCTTTAAGGTCTTTATCTTGAGCTCTGAATTGCTAAAACAAACAAAAACACCAAAGTGGGGGGTGGGGAAGGAAGTCTACTTGGAAGAGGAAAGAGAGCAGCTGGTGCTGCTGGAGCCATGAGACCCAGGACACCCCTGTTTCCCAAGCCTGGACGTGCCTCCCAGTGTAGCATGTTGGCACGGAGCAGGACTGCTGATTTCCATAAGATGGAAATGATTGCGTGCTAGAAACTGAGGTGCCTTAGGGGAGGGAAGATTCCTAACCCAGAAGAAAGGATATAAATCCTGAATGTGTCAAATTTGTTGAGTGCAAGATGTTGCAGTAATAGTCGGTACTTGCAGCACCAAATGGGCACGTCTAAGAAGTCTGGGCTTTGAAGTCAGTCACGTTATCCAAACAAATTCCACTTCAGTTCTGTGGCTGAATGTCTGAGATCTTCAGAAGAAGCTTATAAAGGCCCTGGTGGAAACTGAAGAGGATTTGAGATATGCCAAATATGTGCTGGCCATTATGCAGAGACTAGAATTTTTAGTGGGAGAGCTCTGACTGGGAGAACCTCACATTCCTAAGATCAGCAACCAAGGGACCCCCATTTTCCTGCCAAGTAGGCACACTATTAAATCTGAGGGGCATGTCCAGAGGGAAGATGCTCTGGGAAAGGAGTTGCCCGGGGAGCAAGTGCCCTGTGGCAGAGGCGGAGATTGCCAAGGTGGTCTCCTAGGGGCTGAGGCACAAAGCCCCTCTACCTACTTTAGTTATGAGAAGGTGTGAATGCTGTGTTACAGTGTACCCGGGAAGAGAACTCACAAAGCAAGGAACATGGAAGCTAGGGTGTACTGTGCAAGCAGGCAGAGGTTGCTTGCTTTATCAAAAGTGGGGCCGTTCTGGTCTCACAAGGGTCTAGTCTCAGTTGGCACATGCTCCCCTTGTCACACTAGACAGGTGAGACCCAGAAGGGAAGACAGAAAGAGACAGTTAGTGAACACCAGCATGGCCCAGCCCCAGCCCCACTACTTAACATGGTCAATTACCTACAGGAGGCTACTTTGTAATCTGTGTTGCCCAGAACTTGGCAGCGATGGGGGGTTGCATGGGAAGGAACGCTAGACTACGGAGAACCAGTCCACTCTACTGGCCCACACTCAATTTTCATGTGGCTTCCTTTAAAGGCACCACCAGCTTGGTGAGTCAATCAGGTCAGTGTGGAGAGAAATATCCACATGCTAGAGGCAGATCCATATTGGTTCCCCAGTCTCTCTGTTTTCGGACTGCTCCCCTTCATTCTAATGACAATGCTGCTGTCACAGTGATTCTTCTAACATGCAAATATGTTCCTGTCACTTGCCTGTTTGGAATTCTTCAAAGGTCCCGTTAGGTTTCTGTCGACTGCAACGAAAAGTCCTGTCTAATCAGAACCACTGATTACGTTTTTAATCAGGAGAGCAGTATGTTCAGTCTTGTGTTATAGAAAGAGAAGTCAGAGAGCAGATATGCCGATTATCCTCCTGGATTTATCAGTTGTATACATTGATGGCCAAACAGTAACTCACATAGCAAAACAAATGAAAAACCCAACTGTACACACACGTACACACAAATAAATGCAGTAACTGAACTCTGAAGTTCAGTATAAAACTGTTCACAGAGCATTCTAAATCTTCCCTGACTCAGAACTATATCCTCATGCACTTTGATTTGAATATGTGGGGCAAATGAGAACCATTTTAGAGAAACGACGTCAGATGACTATGATCTTAACATGGTTCCAATTTCCGTGGTGATTGGGTGTTTTATGAATCACCTCTAATTCCTACTGCTGGAACAAAAGGCGAAAATTACCTTGGTAAACGCCACATCGTGGATGAATTACGTTATTCCCCAAATAAAGTATTCTTTGTTATAGTATAAGCATGCATAACTTCTAGCATTATTTTAAGCACTGACAGAGAAATGTGCTTTCTTTTCTACTATTTAACACTCCTATGTTGTGATCCCTGACTCCCTTCACCCCCACACTGCCTTCATTTTAACTTTCTGTTTGTTCATGGAGGGAAGTAAGGACATTTTAATGATACTCCTAGATAATATATTTTCTTACCTAAAAGTGGTACAATAATGCGTTTTACTCTACCTTAGTCCACTACGCGGCATGCAAGCTCTGCTTAATGCAAGGTTTTGTTCCTACAGTTAGTTAAAAAACGAACCAGCTGAAAGTATTTTTTTAGATCCAACCTAAGAAAGACAGTGTGGTCTAGTGTACAGGGGACTGGCTTTGGTGTCGGATGGGTCTAAGTTTGAATGCTGGCTCTGCTACTTGGAAGGTGTGTAACCTTAGGTAAGTTGCATAACTTCTCTAAGCCTCAGTCTCCTTCACCATAAAATGGGATATCTTTCTATCTTGCAGAGCTGATCTGCAATTATGCATAACACATGTACCTATAGAGGAACAATGACTGGTACTGAGTCCAAAGTGCATGTATGAAGTAGATGTGGCCTATGAATAAGAAGTGTTAGGGCCGATTTCACACAACAGGTAAGCTCAAACTTAGGAAACATGAATAACTGTTTTCTGGAATAATACATATAACAGAAAGTCAGAGTATAAATAACGGATTCACTTCATCATGACACAATTCTATCTCCTAGCTTGTGTTTATAAAATAAATTTCTATTACCTCTGTACTTTAACATTTTCTCACACATTTGAGAAATTCCTAGATTCTTAAGCAGTGTCATCCTATTTGCTGTGCTTTTAATGGCAATATTGTGTTTAACTAGAGAAAACAGTTACAAATGGGCCTGGCATGAACTAGTCCTGCAGGTGCCATAAAGTTACCCAAATGGTATAATGAAGTGCTTAGGGCATTTGGGGATTTTGCTGCATTTTTCCTTCTGAATGTGTTGATGGGGTAGTGGACTAGTTTTAATTAGAATCGTTTGGAGAACAGGAATCCAAGCACATGACCTAATAGTCTCCTAGTTAGCCTTCCACCCGAGGCAGCTGTGAACAGTCATCCTAGAAGTCAGCCTCAATATAAAGAATAGAGCGGAAAGTGGTTTATATAGTGGGAGGTTTGTCGGCGGG